TCCCTAGGGCGGGGGCTTCCTGTATACCGTGTCCACCGCGTGCTGACACCTGCCTCCCTCCTCCTTAGCCTCACAGTAACTCCCAGGCCAGGCCCCGTTGCTATGACAACCCATCTCCCCGACAGCCCTGACAGCCCTGTTGCTTTCCGCAAACCCTCGCGGTTTCCTCCTGCAGGGCCCACAGTCCTTAGAGATGGCAGCACGATGATCTCACTGAGTGTCCTCAGGAAACACAGTCACCTTCTTGGACTTGCGGTCAGCTCTTCACAGCTTCCCCCGTGAAGCAGCGTGACTTTCCCTGCCCCGGAACCTCAAGGATATTGCTACTAACGGGTAGATCTGTGCCAGGGGCATCAGTACAGCACAGGGGTCTTCATCTCCTGCAAGATGGGTGCTTGGTGTGGGGGCGGGAGGAAGCCAGGGTGCCGGGTAGCTAAGCTAGAAGGGGCTGCCTCACCTCTGGGCCAGAGGTCCAGGCATCCTGTTGTCTCAGTCAGCCGGTCTGTCCTCCTGGGTCACAATACCCAGCACCCACAGCCTAAAGAAGGTTTATTTTGGCTCATAGGTCCGAAGTTTTGGTCCCCGTTCAGCAGCTTAAACACAGAAAGAGCCTAGCAGAAGGGCCTGCTGGGAGGAGCTGCTCGTGGCCCAGTGGCCAGAAGGACAGTGAAGCGGGGAGCCAGGGAGGAAGATGCATCCTTCGGCTTGTACCCACAACGATCACCTCTTCCCAACCCTCACAGCGAGCCAGTCATCAGAGGACGAGTCCGCGGTGGGCACAGGCTCCTGCCACGTCCCCTCATGAGTGAGGCTTTGCGACATCCAGGCACAAATCAGAAGAATCCTCCATCTGCAGTCAGAAGGGAGTCAAAGTGACTTGGAAGCTCTGTGGGAGGCTGACAGGGACAGGGTGCCGTGACAGAAGCCACATGGTCTGTCGGGAACAGCTGTGACCGCACCCAGGCACCACCAGCCAAGAGCAGAGCCAGCCAGCGGCCTCATTCAGGAGCCCAGCAGGGAGGTGGGTCACAGAGCCAAGGCCTGGAGGGCGCCCAGCCCGGGGACCGCTGTGCTGGGAAAACACCCCTGGTGCCCGGGAGGAGCAGACCTCACTCCCACAGGGCCTAAAAAGCCCTGGGGATGACTCTGGGGTACACCTCCCATGACAGCGTACCTAGCAGAGGTGTCCCCTAAACCCACCCATGGTTAAAGTCAGAACTGTTTCACGCAGCACACAATGAAGACAGTGGCCGGGTGTGTCTAAGACAAAGGTGTCCAAGCTGAGCTCAGGAAAGAGGTCACAATAAAGACCGCCCTTCATGTGCACAGCTAGCACCTTCATCCAGCTATTCATTTTGATAGTCACTCAACAAATGCGCAGTCCTACCAGGCATAGGACCATCAGCAGTCTGGCCCCTGTGCTGGCAGCGCTCCCGGGCTAATGGCAGACAGACCACAGGAGCACCAGGCCAGGCCAGGTGGACAGAGCAGGGATGACATCCTGCGACAGATGCGGGCTGGAGAACAGGAGGCCTCCTGAGCCCTTATACCCCGCATGGCTGGTTCCCACACATTTCTTGTGATGTCTGCAGAACCTGATAACCAAAAGGCCTGCGTGTGGCAAAGGGGACATGTAGAAGGTACGGGTGTTTCTCACGTGCCACCCATCAGGGAGGTAAGGACCCAGAGAGCCGATGAGATGGCACTCCCCGACATCGCCTCTGGGTGGACAGAAAGGAAGAAATAGCTACACAGGATGTTTAGGGGACTCACTCACTTATAAGAACCCACTCCGGGTCCTGCTAAGCCCAGGCACGGAATCAGACACAGGAACACCAAGGTGTGCCTTGTCCATCGCTGGGACAAATCATGTGCCTAACCAACGGAAAGCAAGGAAGCCGTTTGGGCTCACGGTGCTGTGTGTCCTGCTTCCATCCCCTCCCAACAGCACACTCAAACTGTGACCCTACTGGTACATTAACCCACTGGTGACACTGGAGTCTTCATCATCCCGCCACTTCCCCAGGTTTTGGGGGACTTTTTGGGGGATACTTCAAATCTAAACCATAACACATGGTACGTGAAAAGACCCAGTAGCTGGCCCAGCAGTCACACATAAAGAGGGACACGAGCCAGCAGTGATGGCTGATTATGATCCCGAGTAGTGACAGGTAAATGGGAGGGCAGGCAGGGCAAAGGGGTCTGTCCCCGGGGAAGCCCTTCCAGGACAGGACTCGGAAGGGGCTGTCGGAAAAGCCCCACTTCCAGGGCTGGGTCCCGGCTGGGGTCGCACTGACTCCCATCCCCTCCCCCAGCACCTGGCCATCGTGGTGCCCTGAACTCTGCTCCAGTGCGGGCTGTGCAGACCTGAGCGTGCCCACTGCGTCTGTGTCCCTGCACTGTCAACTTCTTGAAGCCAAGAAATGCCCCTTGCCTATGCTGGTGCCAGGTGCCTACTGAGTGAACAAAGAGCAAACAAATCTCTTTCATCTTCAGTGTGTGAGCTGGGGAAACAGGAATCTAGAATGTTCCTTTCATAGCCCTTTGCACATGAACCGAGGTCAGCGAATTTAGACATCACACCAGGTCCAACCAGGTGCACTGCAACAGGAATACATGCTAAAATCCCCAAGGGGGCAACGGATTCCACAGCGTCAATGCAGGATCCATTCAAAACCGAGCGCACCACCCATCTACCGGTCACCATCAAGGTGTGGGGCAGACACCAGTAAAAGCAAAGTCCCTGATATCACAGACCTTCAGTTTAATTTGCAAGGAAGATTTGTGGGTTTTTTATTAATCACAAGCTTAGTGTGAGTCATCAGGGTAATATGGCAACAGAAGCAGAAAAACAAACCCTACCCTGACATCACTCTCGCCAGGAGATGGAGGGGCCGTGTGACAGGCGAGTTGACACAAACAAGCAGCAGCGATCACTGTGGCGATCATGGAAAGCCACTGCTTGAAGTGGGGAGGCCGCCATCCCACCGAGGGGATGATGAGAGAAAACCACGTGGCTGGGGTCGCTTGCACCACTGCCACCACAATGGTGGAGCAGTGTCAGAGTGTGGGCTTTGCACAGGTTCCAGTCCTGGGCTAGAAAAGTTGCACACTGCGCCTCCCTCCAGTGCCAGCGTGGTGACACATGCCTGTGACCCCAGCACTCGGGAGGCTGGGGCAGGGGACCACTGCACACTCCAGGACATCCTGGACTACACAGGGGGACCCTGTCTTGTAAACATAAACAAAGCACTCTTCCACGGCCTGTAACAGAAGCCCGCAGCAGCCCTTACTGCATCCCGGCTCTGTGTATGAAGAGGAGGCTCCATAGAGGCGCCCAGGGCAGGCTCCCCCGTGAGGAGCCCCCAGGGAGCGTCAGCTAATACCAGCATTAAAAGCTCTGCATTTCCTCAGGCTAACCTTCAACTTATCGAGTGGATCATTTCTGTTTCTCCAGACTTCCATATATGAAAGCAATTACCACAGCAACTTGAAACTACAAAGAACTACTTCAGGAGAAATTTGCCATGTTTGAATAGAAACTAGAAACAAACCTAGGGGAAGCCAGGCGTGGTGGTGCATGCCTGTAATTCCAGCACTCAAGAAGCTGAGCCAGGAGGATCTCTGTGAGCTCAAAACCAGCCTGGAGGGCCTGGGGATTTAGCTCAGCGGCATAAGCGCCTGCCTTGCAAGCAGGCAGTCGTGAGTTTGATCTCCAGTACCGATAAAAAAGAAAAAGACAAAAAAAAAAAAAAACCTGCCTAGGCTACAGAGTGAGTTCAAGTCCAGCCTGAACTGCATAGCGAGACCCTCTCTCAAAAAGACAAAAAAAAAAAAAAAAAAGAGAGAGAGAGAGAGAGAGATGAACCTAGTGTTGTGACAGTTTCTCCAGATGGCCCTCAGGTTTAACAGAGTTTATGTGGAAAGGCAGCCAGGCCAGCCACTGCCTACCTGTGGTCCCAGTTATTAGGAAGGCTGAGAAATGCACATCGCTGTAGTCCAGGAGTTCGAGGCCAGTCTGGGCAACATAGCTTAACCTCCCTCGCTAGAAAAAAAAGAGTGGCTGGTTGGGTCCTGAAGGGTGGAGAAGCTGTTGCAGGGTTGAAGGGGAGCTCTGGCTCTGGTTTAGAGGCATGGAATTAGTCTTTTTGTTTGTTTGCCTGTTTTGGTCTTTTTGAGACAGGGGCTCGCTATGCAGTTCAGGCTGGCCTTGAGCTCCCTTTGTAGCCCAGGCTGGTGTTGAACTGGCACAGAGATCCTCCTGCCTCGGCCTCCCGAGTGCTGGGATCACAGGCCTGCGCCACCACACCAGCCTCTGGATTTAGTCCTGTAAAAGCAGTTCTCATTCCTTTCCTCAGCCTTCTAACAGTGCATGTTATGTTCCATATTATTTTCTCTTTTGTGTTTCATGATTCAAATGTCAACACTCAGGGTCAACTCTTAGCACTCAAAGATCAGGAGCTTTGACAGCCCTCCCTGCTAAGCCGGAGGCTCGGGTCCCCAGCACGCCATGACAGCGAGGACTCCTGCAGGCCAGGGTCCAGTGCCTGACCACTGGGTCTTCTTCAGCTGGCCTCAGGGCAGCTCTGCGCTTACCTCTGTCCAGTGCAGTGTGTGTAACCAGGGCCACAGGCCCTGGACCACCGCACCACCGCCGGAGGGACTGGGCCGGGACCACTGGGCTGGGACCACTGGGCCGGAACCAGGACCAGGGTGGGCGCTCAGCCAAGGAGGAGGTGGTGCCCCTGGGGACAGACCAGGGGCTGGGCCGGCGGGGCTCCAAGGAGAGGGTGCCGAGCCCCGGCCACTGGGGTGCCGGTCCACTACGGGCCGGGCCACCGCGGTCCGGGCCATCACACGTGGGGACAGGGCCGGGCCAGGCCTCGGACAGGACGGTGTGAACGCGGCCCCGCACGCATCCCGGTCCCGCATGCTCCCGGCCCCGCAGCCTCAGCCCGGCCCGCTCCGGCCCATCCCCACCCGGGGCCGCGCCCGCTCACCGCCGTCCGGGCCCGCGTCCGTGTCGCTGCCCGTGAGCCAGGTGGACTCGGTGTCGCGCGTCCAGCTCTCCAGGTAGCGCGGCTCCAGGGCGTCTGCCCGGCTCCCGCCGCAGCCCATCCTCGGGGCGGCTCAGCCCGCGCGCCCGCGCGGCGACATCGCGACCGCGGCCGCCTGCAAAGCCCCGTGACCGCGACCGTGACCGCGCTGCGCCGGCCCTGCGCCTCCCCCTCCCTCTCCCCGCCCCCCCCCGCTCCCCTCCCCCTCCCTTTGCTCCCCTTTCTTCCTCCCCTAGCGCTGGAGCTGAGACCCCACCCCAGGCAGGCGGGGAAGAGGGGTCCTGGAGAGGCTCAGCATGGCGAGGCTGCAGCTTCCCGTCCACCCACCCAGGCGCCCGCCCTCCCTCGCCTCCTTCTGGGGCCCAAAGTGCTTGGAAAGGGCCCGCCAGCCTCTGGCCACTTGTCCCAGAGGGTTGGAGACCGCACAGGCTCAACTGCTAGGGAGACAGGGGCAGGCTGGGCGCTGTGGCCCGGGCCCCTTCCTGCTCTGCTCTGAATGCCGGTCTGGGGTGGGGTGTAAGGCGTGGGGAGGCTATGGTTTCATGTCCCCCCACCAAGAGTTCTCCAGAGTGCTTCGGTCCCCTGGATTCAGACCCAGAGCTCAGAAGCAGGCAAAAAAATCCGCCCATCTGGAGGAGCCTAGCATGGAGTATGGAAAGAGTTACTTGTAAAGCAAGGGGCAGTGGCCAGGAGGGATGGCTGGCACCTGAATTCCCAGCACTTGGGAGGCTGAGGCAGGAGGATCGATGCAAGTTTGAGACAGGCTGGGCTACATACAAAGTGAGCTCAAGGCCAGCCCGAACTGCATAGGGAGACCCTGTCTCAACAAGATGGAAATAAGTGGGGGGCACAGTGTTTGATGAGTAAATCCTCCTCCTCCGCCCAGGCCAGGCCGTGGGGAGCGGGCTGTGGCATGCACTATGCACCCCGTGCCCTGCTTCCACAGACTGCACTGGACTCCTGTCATGGCAGATGTCATGTGGCCCCCGACCTCCCGCAGAGCAGACTAGGCCTGTTGCCCCTGTGAAGAGTCCGTGAGGTGCACCAACCTCCCCGCTCCTCAAGCACACAGGACACTGCCACACGTGGATTCACACTGATGCCTCCTTTGGGTGTAGAAATGGGTGGATCAGGGTCAGCGGGCAGCCTGGCCTTCGTGGGCCTCACTAAATGCTGGCCTATGCCTTGGTGCGTCACCCAGTTCCGGCTAAAGAGGGCCTGGTGCAGGGCAGAGCTGTCAGGCTCCTCCCAGGCACAACCCAGGGTGGCAGGCAGGGGAGCACAGAACCAAGACTCACCCCTGCTAGGGCCCAACCAGGCCAGCTCCAGCTCGCGCTCCCCCCAGGCCTCTGCAGCCCAGCGCAGCTTGTGGGGTGAGGGGGCCCCTAGCGTCCCCTCCACTGTTACCTTACCCCGCACAGGAAAGCACAGTATCCACAGAGGTCTTGGCAGCCACTGGGACCTTACGATGTGGCCCCATGGATGAAAGGGGACGCTTGCACTATTTTGGTTGGACTTGGGGTGCCTGGTGAGTTAACAGAGAACTCAGCTGAACTGCTGGGTTAATAACCTCAGCGTGATAAATGCTTTCACTGTCACGTGGCCGTGAGTTTGGAACCCAAGAGAGCTTTGAACCAGAGAAACAAGCCAAGGAGGAAGCACCACATAAAAGGTGAAGGAGACGTACCCACTGCTGCTGTCCCGGCTCGCCGCCTCCTCTCTGCCCAGCCCTCCGGCCCCTAGTCCCCTCTGCCACCTCCAGCTTGGTCCTGTCCTGGACAGCTGGAGCCCTGTCCCAAGCTTTATATCCCAATGCTGCTTAGCCACGAAGGACAGAGACGCTGTCTTCGTCTATCACCAAAATGCACTGCTAGGCGGTGGGGAGGAGAAAATCATCAGCGTTTCTTCTCCTCATGTATTTGAATTCAAAACAAGGAGTTTGATGTGGGTGCCAGTCGGGGATGGGGCCACTGCCAATTTGTCACTCAGAGAGAGGGGGAAACTGAGGCATCTCTCCACCCCCGGGGCTCCAGGGCCTCAGAGCCAGGATTCCTAAAGCTCCGGGAGGAGGAGGTAATGATCAGGCTGCAGGAAAGGGAGAAAGAGGAGCCTGGAGGCGGGGTGGAGGGTGTGGTCATGCCTGGCTGTGTGGCCTGGAGCTGTCCAGGGTGCATCTGGCAGATGCCAAGCAAGCAGCACGCCTGAGGCAGGGGCGCCACAGAGCACTGGGCCTGGTGGCAGATGTGAGGGCCTGGGCGCCTCCCAGGTGTGAGGGAGAAGGCCCAGCCGCACCTGCATGGTGCAGCTTGCGTGGCACAGGCAGATCTGAGACTGGGGAGGTCGAGTTTTAGTGGACTGAGGGTTGGAGCCTGCGTCAGCTCTCCAGCGCCATGACAAAAGACCCGAGAAAACACCTTTCTGAAAAAGAGTTCTCTTGGCTAAGGGTTCAGTAGTTTTGCTCAGTTATAAACTGGCTTCTTTGCTCCTGGGACCAGAGGGAGGCCAGGTGATAGTGGACAGGAAGCAGCATATGCTGGACAAGAGGTGGGGTCCCAGTGTCCCCTCCAGCAAGGCCCTGTGCCCCACGACCTCCAATCAGGCCCATCTTCCCACTGAGGATAGCCTTCAACCCAGGAGCCTCTGGGACACTTAAGATCTGAACCTCAGCAGACGCCGAACAGCAGCGGTTTGGGGAGGGAAAGGGGCACTGGACAGCAGAGTCATGCTGAGGGTGAGGCCAAGGAAGCTCCAGAGTGTTTTTCATGGAAGGAAATGGAATGTGCTCAGGGAACAAAGATACTGAGTCACATGAGTGCAGAGAGAAAGTGCCAAAGGTGCTGGGTATTCTGGGAAATGGGTCCGTTTCCTCTGGGGAACACATAGCTGGCTGCACCACTTTGAGTGGTTTGGGGAGGAACAGAGAGACACAGGCCATCTGTTACGGGTTAAGTCTGGATGTCCCCCCAGGAGTCTTACCAGCTCATAGTGGGACTTCTGGGAGGTGCTTAGCTTACGGGGCTCCTAGCTGACTGCTCTTGGGGGCGGGGGTCCAGTTGGACAGCGGGGTCCGGGGTGTGACCTGGAAGCGTTCATCTCCCTCCACTCCTCCTTTAACCCTGTGCCTCCCACCTGCCTGCCATGGACTGTTCTCTGCCATGCCACCCAGCTTTGTGGTCATCCAGCTACAAACTGAAACCTCTACAATTTGTGAGCTAAAATAAACCTCTTCTCCTATAACTTTGAGTGTCCTGTATTGGTTATCAGTGACAAGAACATGACTAGGACATTCCCATTATTCATAGAGCTGCTCGATGCAAGTTTTGGGGAGACAGACACATGAGGCTCAGCCAGCGCCAGGAGGAGGTGACAGAAGGGCAAGAAAGTGACCGAAATGGGAGTCCGAGACGGCAGGCTGGGTGCAGGGAAAGGAGGAACAGGAAGGACGTGGTGAGACCCACGATGCTGCGGCCCCATGGAAGGAGCCCAGAGATCAGGCTCGAGGAAGCCACGCCCTACTCACTTACCTCAGTCACCTGCACACCACCCTGAAAGGCCAGCTCCCACGGAGAAGTCTATGAGCCCATTCAGGGTTCTGTGCTGAACGTGGTCTGATCCACCGCCAACTCCCAAACTTCTCCAGGGTGCAGCCAAAGTCTCGCTGATCCTCAGCAGGACTCAGATCAGTGCCTTCGTACAATGGACGCTCATCAAAGATTTTCTTCACGAACGGACAACGGAATAGGAGACGTGGTTGAGACCATTTGTTCTAAAGCTCAGCTCCGGATTTGACACTTGGTCCTGCCATTTCCCGGCTGGATGGCCCTAGACAGATTACATAACTGCTGTCTGCTTCAGTTTCCTCACCTGGAACTGACAGAGTCTAAATATCTCTGCAGAGCCAAAGTCTTCACCTGTCTTAGTTACTTTTCTCTTGCTGCTGAGACAAAACACTCAACACCTGAAATTAAGGAAGGAAAGGTTTGGCTCACAATTTATAGAGGTTTCAGCCTATGATCAGTTGGCCCAAAGGCAGAGTGGCATGGAAGAGGGTAACCACTCATGGCAGCTGAAGACAGCAAAAGCAACAAGAGAAAAAAAAAAAACCAGAAGAGCATGCAGAGAAGATGCTTTCTGTCCCTTATATTGTAAACCACCCTAGGGTGAGTGTAGCACTTACACCCGTAATCCCAGCATTAGACTATGAATGAATCACAAATTCTAGAAGCCCACCATCATGACTGCACAAGGCTTTGGGGGACATCCAGGCAGAAATCATAACATCACCAAAGGGCTAAACTCTGGTTACCGGCTCTTTTCATTTCTGATTCTCGACTTGGGAAGCCTTTAGGAATAAATGGAATACATTTTAATAAATTAAATGTAAATATATGTTTTAGGCACTTGACATCACAGCTTAAAAAAGGAGAGCTTTATTTTGGTCCCCGGCCATCTGGCTCCCTCTGCATGGCACAGGGGCTTGGCGGGGCAGAGCTGGGACAGGAAGCAGAGAATGTGGAGGAGGAGCCAGGGAGGGAAATGAAACTTTCAAGACACACCGCACCATAATGGCCTCTAGCCAGACCTGCAACTTAAAGGCATGTCAGCGGTAGTCCCCATGATGCAGTCATCTTCTGTATACACCGAGGGCTGATCAGACCTTCAGGTATCTGTAGGGGACAATAGGGAATAAAGGAAGACAAACACAAATTTCAGAGTCCAGGGACGGGCTTGGCGACCTCCAGGGGGAGGTTCTGAGTGCCGTAAGAGCTGGTGTCCGATGTCCCCGAGTTACCCTGGGCGTGGAGTACTGCATCTGAGGTAGGCGGGTAGACTGAAACAGACCTTTCAGCCCACTTGAACAGATTCACCTGAGTGGCACCCTTACATGGAGCTCGGAGGGATTTAAAGTCAGGCTCTACCTTAGTTTGGGTTACCTAGGGTCTGAGCAGGGGCATGGGTTTTAGTAGAAACTGCTTTTAAGTCTCAGGAGAAAGCATACATTGTACCCTGAATGAATAACAGCCTAAGAGCCCAGGCATGAGTTCATCCTTCGTCCCCGTGGTGGTCTCTGACTGGGACCTGACTATGTCCACACTATGAACCCTTTTCCTAATAACAGCGCAAGTCTTAGGGCAGTTAGAGAACTTGTCTGATGCCAGCCCCAGGCACCCCTGCTGGGGTTTGAACCAAGTCTACAAGACCTCAAAACATTTCCTGGGTCATGCTGCGTCTCCTGTCCACAGCTGGACTCTGGCGGATCCCTGTACATCAAAGGGGCCGCTGTGTCACAGTGTTGTGTGACAGCCACCAGGATGCATGAAGGACAGGTCCACTGGGGAGCCCACACAAGGTCTCTGCAAGTCACGCAAGGAAAACAAAGTTTACTTAGGAAGAATCTTGGGAGAAATTTTCCAGCCGCAAGCAGTGTCTGCACAGTGAGTAATCCTATTCAGAATTGAGAAAGATAGATTAGTCACTGGAAAGAGGGTGGGAAAGTCTCCCTCCACGCTCAGCAGCCGCTCATAAACAGGCATGTGACCGAAGCCAGGCCCACGCCGTGAATACGAGAATGATCCTGAGTTTTCCCCATTATCTGTGTTGTGTGAGGTGTTATCCTGGCAGCCCTGGGAAGAACTGAGCTCGTGAAATGCTGTGTGGGCTGCACGGATGTCTGAGTGATCTGCAGTGTTGATTTCCCCTCCTGACAGAGTCTTTTCTGAGGTTGAATTAAGTGATGTGCATTTTCAAGTCTCAGCTGCCACTGAGAAACTGAATGGGTTTCAAAGAATGGCTGCTGTCATGGAGTCAGATACAAGCATTCTGCCCTCATCAGAGCTTCACAAGCAAGACTGGAACTTCAGAGTAGTTTAAAAGAAGAAAGGAAGGAGGGAAGTCCTGACTAGAAGTCATTGCATCTTTCTTGGTTTGGCAGGAAGGCAGATGTTCTGGGGGAAATAAAAGTGGTGATCAGAGAACTGTTTCAAAGGTGAGGTGCTGAACTAAAGCCGAATTGTTCAGACGTGTGCAAACACAATGAACAAGGTCCGGGTGGGCTCTCTCGGCTGGAGGGACTGAAACCCTGGAGCAGGATCTTAGGAACGGAGGTTGTCCCTTGTCTTAGTCACTCTGCTGGTCACTGAGACCCAACACTGCTGAGACCTGCATGGCTCTTGAGGTTCTTGGGGTGAAGGATGGTGAGAAGATGAGAAAGTAAAGGAGAGACAAAGCTGGGGTCTGGTGCAGCCCTCGCTCTCCTGATGGGAGGGAAGGAATTGCCCAGCCACTGCGGGATGTTCATTTACACACTCAGGAGGAGCATGTCATGTTGTCTGCCTGACCAGCCCAGGCCCTTTGCTTCCTCGGAGCTGGAACAGCTTGTTTACTGGCTTTTTTGGGCTCTCTGTGTTTACAGGGCTGGCCTTGCTTTAGCCCCACAATGTGACCAATCTCCAGCTTCAAGGGCTCCCTACACAATGCCCAATATCCACGATTTAAATAGGCAAAGGTTGTCTCAGGTTTCGGTCCACAGCTGCCACCCAGAAAGGTAGGGCTGCCTGGCAGAGGGGCCTGGTGGCACAGAGCTGCTCACCCTATGGGGCCCAGGAAGCAGAGATGGGAGGAGCTGGAGGGAGGGGAACCCTTCCAGACCCCACCCCAGACCCCACCTCTTCCCACCTGACCTCGACTCCAGCCAGCCAGGAGGCCCCAGGATCCAATCCCTTTCCAAAGGTCCACCTATGAGAGCATGAGGCTCTGGGGGACATCCAGATGTAAACCATGACAGTCACAAAGCCAGGCCCCTGCTGTCACCAGACCGAGGTCCTCAGGCAGCCAGATGCTGATAGCTCAAAGCCTCACCATCCCTCCCATGCCAGTCTCCTCCCCCTGAGCCCCAGCACCATAAGAAGCAGGGGTTAGAGAGTAGCTACCCACAGAGCTGCAGGGAGGGAGGTCACAGGCGTCCTCGGGTGGCACTGCTGACTGGGAAAAACTGTTTGGAACTGGGGAAGGACGTGCTCTGGGCCCTCCAGGGCTTGTATCCTGGCAGGACCCTGCAGTACCCAGGGAAGTGACGAGGGTGCTGGACAGGAAAGCCATCGTGCTCGTGCAGACCATGGTCATGGTTCAGATTTTTTTAAAAAAAGAACAAGGAAAGTAGTTCTGCCAGAAGAAAGAATACTGTGGTATTCACTGCTTGCCTGAAGAACGGCTCTGGGAAGCCAAGAGGAAGAGCAGGGAGGCCACCCAGAGGCGTGCCAGAGCCAGGGCAGGAGACGAGCGCGGTTTACGGACGAAGGCGGTGGCAGAGGAGGAGGAGGACACGGGTGCCCTCGGCATCACCCCACAGGTCAGGAAGGCCTGCTGTGGGCATGGTGGGCACACCTCTGATCCTGGCGCTCAGGAGGCTGAGGCGAGGGGACGGCGGGTGTGAGACCAGCCTGAGCTACATGTGTCAAAAAACAGACAGAAAGACTTGCTGGTATTCAGGGTGTCTGAGTTGAAAAAGAGAACAAAAACAAGAATAACTGGGCGCATGTTCCTAGCGGGGACCTGAGTCCAGGCAGAAGACAGTGTTACAAGGCGCCTGGAGACAGCTTTTCACAAGAAAGAGCTGCATGGAGCAAAGGAGTTGGATGACGGGAAGGCTTCCCAAGGCTGTATTTAATGTCCTCAAGGAGATCAGAGGTGATATTCCAACCACAGAAAAAGAACAGAATGCAAGTAAAGCGGGACCTTCAGGGCCCTGCGTATCTACGGGCAGAAACGGGAGCCTCAGGAGGAAGGCTAGAAAAATAAAACTGAGGCCAAGAACAGAAGGAGCTACAGAGACAGACTACAGGAAAGAAGTCTAAGCAGCTGAAGGGGTCAGTCCTGGAAACCCAGCACCCGAATAATAGGACTTCCAGGGAGAGGTGAGGGGACACTGCAGTGGGAGGAAATCATCAGTGAAACAACTCAAGAAAACTTTGCAGAACTAGATCACCATGTGGATGAAGGTAAAACTCCCTCTGAGGGCTTTCATAACACTTTAGAACACCTGGGACAGAGGGAGGGTGGTGCAGAAGCCCCATCTGGACATTCAGAATCAGAATGTCCACAGACTTCTCCAACATGACCCCAGAGGACACAGCCTTCACATTTCTAAATTTCGGGCCGGGGATTTAGCTCAGCGGCGTAAGTGCCTGCCTTACAAGCACACAGTCGTGAGTTCGATCCCCGGTACCAAAAATACAAAAAAAAAAAAAAAAAAAATTCTAGATTTCTAAAAAATGTCCAGCCCAATCTCCATCAATTAAGTGAAAAGCAGAATAAAGGCAGTTTCATTTGTTAGGTCTCACACAGGCGGCAGGAAATCACTGGGAGATATTTCAAAACAGGAGACGAGAAAAAGCTGACGGGGACCCAAAGGGGGTAAAAATGTCCCTGTCTTCCTCCCTGCTCTCTTCTTTCCCTCCCTCCCTCCAGCTCCACCTCCACCCCACCAGGACAGCACCCCACCAGGGCAGCACCCCACCAGGACAGCACCCCACCAGGGCAGCACCCCACCAGGGCAGCACCCCACCAGGTCAGCACCCCACCAGGTCAGCACCCCACCAGGGCAGCACCCCACCAGGGCAGCACCCCACCAGGGCAGCACCCCACCAGGTCAGCACCCCACCAGGTCAGCACCCCACCAGGACAGCACCCCACCAGGGCAGCAACCCACCAGGGCACCCCACCAGGGCAGCACCCCACCAGGGCAGCACCCCACCAGGACAGCACCCCACCAGGGCAGCACCCCACCAGGTCAGCACCCCACCAGGTCAGCACCCCACCAGGTCAGCACCCCACCAGGATAGCACCCCACCAGG